CAGAGCAAGCACAGGGGTGAGCTGGTCCCAGCAGAGAGTGGGCAGCACTGTGCCAGGTGCACCCGGTACTGTGGCGCTCGGGGGGTGGGGGTGGCGTGGGGTCTCGTTGTGTGACTGAGGAAGCCTGGCACAGAGGCTGGGAAACATCAGTCGGCTCACTGCTTTTCTCTTAGACTCCCTACTCAGCCCTGTGTGGGGCTGAGCCTTGCCCCTGGGTGGAATGTCTCAGGGATTGGGCCTGAGCCAGCACTTCACTTAGCCTAATCTTTTTGTTTGAAAAACAAAACTTTCCATTTGGGAAGAAGTCAGTTTGATGCCTTTGATATGCCAACTTTCCCAAGCAAAGCGTACTGTTGGTGTTCATTGGGAGCCGAAGGTTTCCGAAAGATAAAAACGTGCTTGAATACTGTGGTAGTTTGCGTGTGTTATTTCTGAAATTTCAAAAAGCTAGAAATACCAGCTATAATAATAAATGTGGCCAGCCAGATAGCTCAGCAGATTAAAGCAGGTGCCGTGCTGGCCCCGCCTCCAGGGCGTGCTGAGACTGTGCTTGAGACTGGGCGTGGTGGCGTGCGCCTTAATCCCAATGCTTGGGATGCTGAAAACAGGAAGATCACCATGAGTCCGATCTGTATAGTGAGACCCTGTACTCAATACTTGTAATAATAATACCCCACAGAATAGTAATAATAATAAATGTGTTTTGAGCCAGGCATGGTAGTGCATGCCTGTAATCACAGCATTTGGGAGCCTGAGGCAGGAGGATCACCGCAAGTTTGAGGCCAGCCTGGACTACATAGTGAGTCCAAGACCAGCCTGAACTATATAATAAGATCCTGTCTCAAAAAAACAAAACAAAACAAAACATATATTTTGTGTTGGTACTTTCTATGTTGGGTTTAAATTAATATCTAGTCTTTTGTCCAATACTGGACGTGATTAATGACTAAACGACTTTATTGAGGCAGAAAGACCTTTTATTTCTGCCAAAGGTGTTTTGTGTTTTTTAATCGCTATTGGTACATTTTATTTTAAAACTTATTTTTGTGTTTATTTGGTACTGGGTCTGGCTATGCAGCTCAGACCCATAGTGGCTGTATTAGTTATCCTTCTCTCATTGCTGGGACAAATACCCGACACTCAAAATGAAGGAAGGAAAGGTTTATTTAGCTCACAGTTACTGGAGGTTTCAGTCCACACTCAGCTGGGTCCAACGCAGAGCAGCACATAGCAGAGGGCAACCTTTCATGGCGGCGGCAAAGAGCAAGAGCGCCAGGGAGGGGCAGCAGCAGCTCAAGCAGCTAGCTTCTCTTCCCACCTTACATTGTAATGCAAATTGCCTGCCCCAGGGTAGGGGAAGTACTCACACCTATGGGTACTTCCCAGTATTTACCCACCTATGGGTGATCCCAGCAGTACTAAGACCCATAATCCCAGCCTTGGATCACACATAATCCCAGTGGATCATGAGTTAACACAAAGGTCTAGAAATCCTCACCCCATGACTGCATAAGGCTTTGGGGGGACAACTAGACACAAACCATAAAAGTGGCCCTCCCGTCTCAGCCTCCCCGTCATGGGGTTACAGGCGCACACCACCCAGTGTTGGTGGCTGGCGCAACACGGGGCCAGCATGGCATGCAGTCCCAGGGCTCGAACCCGGGTCCTTGCGCTTTCCAGGCAGACACTTCGATTGCTCCGCTAGCTCCCTGGCCCTCTTGGTACATTTTAGGCACACATAGTGATCACATTCATCATAGGGAGTTTGCGCCTGCTATAGCTTCATCTTTTTCCCCTTCTCCGACCTCCCTTGGACCCCTCTTCCCCTCCCTGCTCATCAAAGCTTTATTTCCTTCCTCATTTCTTTTCCCTTTTCCTTTTCTCCCTGTACCTCTTCCCCCTCCTTAGTTTCTCCTCTCATTTGAGCATTTGCTTCCTATTTCATGGTATCTGTTATACATTTTGCTCCTTACTCACCCTTTTAGTTTTTCACACCAGAGACATAATGCAGTATTTATACTTGTGTGTCCAACTTACTTCACTTAAGAGTGTGGTCTCCAAGTGCATCCATTTGCATAGAATTGCCTTAGGGTTATCCTTATGAGAGCATAGTACTCCATTGTATGAAATAACCACATCTTCCTTAGCTATTCATGGTCGGCCGGCCCTAGTTCCAAGGGGTAGCTCTTACAGAGCGTGCTGCTGTGAACCTGGGAGTGCATATGTCCCTGCGCTGTGATACTTTTAGTTCTCTCAGGAAGGTGGCACGAAGAAAAACAGCTGGTTCCCACGGGGCTCTAGTTTTAAGGCTTTTTTAAACTTTTTTTGTGGTACCGGGGATTTCTTTCTTTTTTTCTTTTTTTTTTTTTTTACACTTTCAATCATCAGGGAGTCAAGGGGCTCTAAGTCTAGCCACGAAGATGGCTTTCCGGACCCAAGAGAGCGACCCAGGGCCTCGCGCTGTTTTTATTCAGTGGGGGAGTGGCTTGAGGAGGATTGACTGAGAATTGTGGGAAGAAGGTGATCACTGTGAGCTGAGCTAGGTGGGTGGCCTGCGTGTACCTAAGGCCAGTTGATAAACAGCAGTCCTAGCCAGCTCTGTACATAGGAAACAGGGTCAGGCTCAGTCAAAATGGAGACAGCCGCTCTTCTTTCAAGGAGAGCTGCTCAGGTGGGCCTCCACAGTTCCCCCTTCTTGGCTTTGAAGCAGCTGGAGCAGTGTCAGTTCTGGCCGCGTAGCCCTTAGCTGTTGCTGGGCTGAGTCCCATTCTACCTTCCCTATCAATAATGAAAAGGATTGATAGTATGGGCCAATATAGGAGTACCGGGGATTGAACTCAAGGCCTTGCACTTGCAGGCAAGCAAGCGCTTACTCTTCTGAGCTATCTCCCCAGCCCCAGTCTTAGTTTTTTAAGGACTCTCCACACTGATTTCAACAGTGGTTATACCAGTCTGCACTCGCATCAAGAGTGGAGAAGGGTTACCTTTTCTTCCCAGCCCTGCCAACATTTATTGTTGTGCTGATTTGTTTTGTTTGTTTCTGTAATAGCCATTCTTGCTGAAGTGAGACAGAATTTCAGCACTGTTTTAAATGCACCTCTCAAACGGCCAGTGAGGTGGAACATTACATTCTCTCATATATTTATTTGCTATTTCCACTTCATCTGAGAAGTGTCTAGTGGAGATGCCTGGGGCCAGGAGACAGCTCAGTGGAATAAGTGCTTGCCTGGCAAACACAAGGGCCTGAGTTCAATCCCCGGTTGCGGGGGGGGAGCCCATTTTGGGGTCGGGTTTTTAAACTTGAGAGGGGCTCTGTTTTGTTTTGTTTTCTTTTTGTATTCTAGATACTAGCCTTTGTCTGAGGAACAGCTGGCAAAAGTTTTTCTCACACTGTTGGTTGTCTTTGCACTCCGTTGGTGGTTTCTCTTGTTGTGCAGAATGTTTAATAAGATCTCATTTGCTGGTTCTTTGTGGTTTTCTGGTATAATTGGGATTTTGTTTGCTTGTAAGGTCTTTGCCCTGCACCAATGTCTTCAAGACTTATACCTATTGTGTTGTTATGGTTGGGGTCTAGTTGTCCCCCTAAAGCCTCAGGCAGTCATGGAGCAGCTTCTGGGGTTTGTGATTCATTATTGTGGGTGTGGGGGCTGGGGAGATGGTTCAGCAGAATAGGCCAGCCCGGGGCTGAGTTCAATTCCTGGTTCTGCCAAAAAAATCCCAAAACAGCCAACTGAGCTAACCAGCAGGCCTCCGTATATGTTGCAGTTGATTTTGTGGGTGTGGGTGCTGCACCCACCCTGGGCAAGTAATTGATTAGAACGCAAGGAGCCAAGAGGCCGGCTGGGCCGGGAGGCCTGTGCCCGCCGAGCTGCTGCGCCCCCTTTGCGCTCTGCCCTCTGCCATGTGCCGCGCTGCCTTGGAGCCAGCAGAGTACGCGCGGAGCCCCAGCCTTTCCTTCCTTCATTTGGGTGTCAGGATTTGTCCCAGAAAGGAGAGAAGACAGGAGACGGCTGTCTTCAGCAGGTTTAGCCTATTAACATTTAAGCACCCGCCGGAGGCGTTGCCTTGTGATGCGCGGCTGTGCGGCTGCGACCTGGGGCACGCCCGCGACCTCCTAGCACGCCCGACCCCTCAGCCGCGGGGGCCTCACGAGGGCCTGCTGGCGTTTTGCACACGAGTCTGTGGCCACTTCAGGGAAACTCCACAAAATTAAAAAATATTTTTAGATATGAGCTCATTGGCAGTCATACCTAAGAAATAGATCTTTAAACTCAGGTACAGTGTTCATCAGTCTTTTCCTGGGTACTTGGGATTTGAAAAGTAATCCTTATTTCCATTACTTGGAAATTTCTAGAAAGAAAAGGATTCTAGTACTTTTTCTCACACATCTTACCATACCAGACTAAATCTGACACGGTTTTTTGCCTCTCTTCCAAGAGCTGAATAATCTCAGGAGAGACTGTAGCTCTTACTGTCTCTAGGGAGTGGCCCAGGTCAGAGCCACGTCCTGTCCTGTCCCTTCTGCTTCCTGTCTGGTGGGCTCCGGCTCAGGCTGTGCCTTCTGGGCGTGCCTTCTGGGCGTGCGTTCTCCTGTGAAACCGGAGGAGGAGCGGAAGGCGCGGCCCTCGCTCGCTCGCTGCTGGAGCGCTCAGCTCGCCGCGCTGCCACCGTCCCTGTGGATGTCCGTCCTGGCCGCCGGCCAGCTGGGGCCGCCACGTCTCTCGGGCGCTGGGGCCTCTTGGCTGTAGGGCAGCGCAGGCTTGTGTAGACTGTTGGTGTGATGCTGACTGAAGCCCCTGGGACTGTACGTTTTCATATATTTTTGGGGAGAGGGGCATTGAGACAGGGTCCTGGCTGGCCTTGACCTGGCAGCAGTCCTCCTGCCTCAGCCTCCTAGGTGTGTGCCACCACACCCAGTTTTAAATACAAGTGTCTATACTGCCATTTACAATCATGTTATTTGAGGGAGGGAAAAACCTGTTTTTTCACTGTTTCCCCAGGACTCTGGATCGACTTGGAAATGTCCTACAACGGATCCTTTCTGATGACTCTTGAGACCAAAATGAATTTGACCAAACTAGGTAAAGAGCCTCTTGTTGAAGCCCTGAAGGTTGGAGAAATTGGCAAAGAAGGGTAAGGGGCTATATATGAACTTCTAAGCCAACCTGGGGGACCCCTTTCTCTCCGCAGCCTGGGGTAAGCAGGTCTTGGGCCTGAGCGCCCCGGCCGGAGAGCTAGTGCCACTGTCAGTGGTTCTGGACCACAGAGCAGACACTGTCCCCAGGGAGCCCACTGCCTGCTCAGCTGTGACAGCTGTTCTGACCTCTGCACTGTTCCAGTTACCCAGAAAGTAACACTGACTCAGACAACCAGGGCAGACCCATCGGAGTGATGAATTTGTTTGTGAATCAAATCTCTGCTTTGGGCCGGGGAGATGGCTTAGTAGACTAAGTGCTTGCCTGGCAAGCGCAAAGGCCTGAGTTCAAGCCCCAATTCCGCAAAAAAAAAAAAAACCCAAAACACCAAATCATTGCTTCAGATACTCTGTGTTCAGCTTTCTTTCTTTTTCTTTTTTGAGAGGTCTTTTTGAGACAGGATCTCACTATGCAGTTCAGGCTGGCCTTGAGCTCACTTTGTGGCCCAGGCTGGTCTCGAACTCACAGCGATCCTCCTGCGTAAGCCTCCACATCTTGCTGCAATTTAATTCCCACACCACTACTATCCGTTTTATTATTATTATTATTATTTTTTTGTGGTGCCAACGATTGAACTCAAGACCCTATGTTTGCCAAGCAGTCGCCTATCTCCCCCTGACTACCACCCCTTTTAGTGCCTAGAAGGAAAAGACAAAACTTTTATATTCTTGTACACCTTAAAAGCGACTACTTCAGTTACACATATAAATGATACTGTTGTGTTTACCAAATTAAAAAAAAAATGCTGCTTCTTACGTGTCTGCCCCCTTTGCACGGCATTAACACTATAAAAACAAGGAGCTGCCTCAGCAGGGTCTGAACACAAGGCGCGGGCTCTTAGATTTTTGATTAATTAACAGTACTCACCTACTATTCCCATTCATGCTTGGGTATTAGCACACTGGGCGAGTTGTGAGCATACCTTCAAGAATATTCTTTGGGTTAGATGATCTGAGTTGCTTAATGAACTGTTCCTGTTTTAATAGTTGGGAGAAATTCACCTGCCGTATGCAATCTAACCTATCTCTGCTATTTTTTTTTCCCCTGCTGTTTGTTAAAATGTATTTGGATTCGGCACTCTGTGGATTTGGGTTTTCTGGTGAGTGGTACCGATCAGCTCCGTGTGGCACTTCATACCCTGTGACTGCTGAGTCGAACTGGGCCCCGTGAAGCCATGGGGAAGCGGTCCTTTCATCATGGTTCCAGACATGAAGGCACAGTCCGTGGGCTTGAGAGGACCGAGAGATGGAGCTCAGAGAAGGCTTTGCTGGCAGGGAACATCTCAGCCATCCCTAGTTAGAATTGCTGGGGTTCAGACGGGCGTGGGGTGCACACCTCTAATCCAGCATCCAGGAGGCAGAGGCAGGGGATCACCATGCGTTCAAGTCTAGGATGCGCTAGACAGTGAGCTGAAGGCCAGCCTGGACAGTGTTGTGAGACCCTGCCTCAAACTAAAACAAGACAGCAACAAAAACTACGCCTGAAAATGTTTTTTGGGTTGCTCCGCTGGTGGAAGCATCACAACCTCTGAAAGCCCTTCTGTAGTCAAGAAAGAAGGCTAATCCTAGAAGAGGTCTAGAGCCCACTCTTTACCTCCTCAGTCCTGAATGTCGAACCCTCTCGAGACAGAGGAGAGCCAAGGCAGTGCTCCCTGCCCGTGCCGTCCTCCCCAGTGTCAGCCTCCCCAAGCAGCGAGCACAGAGCCGGCAGCGCAGCTGTTTCCTTCAGGGTCTGCTTTCAGTCCACGGTTGCCTGTCCGGGGCCACCTCGAGGGCTTGTACCGCGTCCAACTCTGGCCGGGCCTCTGCTGTGTCTCTGCGCTTAGTGGTCCCTGTGCAGGTGTGGCGCTCATGGGAAGTGTGCAGAGGTGCTGCTCAGGCTGTGAAAAGTCCCTTTTCTTGTTTTTGTGTCTTAAAGACAAGGTGTCACTGTGTATTCAGGCTGGCCCTGAACTCACTGGGTAGCCCAGGCTGGCCTCCACCTGTGATCCTCCTGCCTCCGCCTCCTGAGTGCTGGGATTACAGTCGTGTGCCACCGTGCTTGGCTGAGTCCCTTTCCTGGTAGGAGTTGTACTCACAGTAACAGCCTGAGGATAGGAGGGAGAAATTAGTATCTCTTGCTTCAAGTGAAGTCCCCTTCCTTTGAAGTGCATGTCCACTGTGCATTTGTGGACATTTTTCTTGTGGGCCTTTTCTTTCCCAAATGGTCTTGTCGAGTGATGTAATTAGCGTCACTTTTGGGCTGTGAGCTGCTGGAATGCAAAGGCTAGAACTGGAGCTCAGTGATAGAGCGTTTGCCCAGCACGCCAGAGGGCCTGGGTTCTAACCGCAGCATCTCTCCGTCTCTCTCTAGTCTTGTCTGACTGACTGTCTGTCTGTCTGTCTCTTACACACACACACACACACACACACACACAGATTTAAGTGATAAGCTGAGGACTCTGAACCATAGGAAAGGACCTGAAGACCTGAGGGAGTCCAGAAGCAAAGTGCGCTGTGATGAGTGGTGTTGGAGCAGAGCTTTCCTGCGGGGCACTCGGCCGTCCCCTGCAGCTGGCCTGTGTGCACGTTCCCACATGGTGACCTCTGCCTCTGTATTGTCTCTCCAGCCCACCGTATTGTCCCTCACTCTACAGGGCCTTGGTGCTCTGGCAGCCGAGACCTTGCAGGACACTGACATTCATTCATGGCTACATGCTCGTGTGTGTCTGTGACAGATGTGAGGGATTGATTCTTAAAACCAATACATCCTTATAAGTCTGGTTCCCTCACAGGGCATTTGAATCAAGTTATGCACTCTTAAAACATTTCTTAGCGCTTCTGTTGTAGAGTTACCTCTTGAGTCTGTGACGTGTTTTAACCATCCTGAGAGACAGCAAATCAGGCTTCTTTATAGTTTGAGAATTGCCAGAAGTTGTCAGAGGTGTTGATTATAGACCAAAAATTAAAATAGTTGGTCCCGTGCAGAGCGGCAATATTAAAATGTTTCACCTTTTCTTCTGTCTGACTCCAGACACATTTCTGCGACATTTCAGCAGAGGTAGCATAGCTGGAGTACGCCCGCCGGTGGCTCTCCGAGAAGACAGCGCACTTGCGTGGGCTTCTGAGTTGTGGTCAGAGCGGGCGGGCTTGCCACATCCAGGGTGCAGAGCATCTTTCTCTGAGGTTTCTGCTGACATTGTGAAGTCAGGGTAACTGTGCGCACAGTCGGCTGGAAAGCAGCAGGCCAGCTGCAGGCTGTGGCCATGTGCCCGGTCATCGGTAAGCAGTGAGTGCCGTCCGTGCGGTCCACTGCCCAGGGGAGGCAGTGCTTGGTGCGTGGTCAGTCAGAATTTCGTGTCTCGCATTAGCGAAATTACTGGCTTCCAGCTGCAGAATCTGTCCTGTTCCCTGTCCTACAGAGCATTCGTTTTGTAACCAGAGCGCTCACTGCAGGGCTCAGCCTTTGGCATCTTCTGCCCAGGTCTGGGCTGGCTGATGACCTCCACCAGGAGAGACACGAAGGGCAGCGGCTCTGTCCTCTCGGCCCACAGGCCCTGCAGGCACCCTTTGTGCCGGGGCAGGTGGCCGAGGAGAGGCTGTGTACGGTGGGAAATCTTCCATGCCAGGCAGCGCAGCTGTGAGCCAGGGTGCAGCCGTACTCTGAGGGCGAAGTAGGACAGTTGTGTAACACTGTCCTCAGCCGAGACCAGGGCAGGCTTTCTGGGAATCGGAGTTTGCAGTGTGCATCTGAAGCCAGAGTGCCCAAGGGTGCCACACTCGGAAGGCTCTCAAGTGGCCTGTGACCACATGTGCACGGAAGCACAGGACCGGCCAGGCCAGCAGAGGAAGAAGGGAGGCGGCGGCAGCCAGAGGTTGTCAGGAGTGAGGCTTCCACCTAGCAGAGGGAGCTGCTCTTGAGCTTGCCGGCTGGGTGCCAGCTCTCTGGTTTCAGGGCAGGGTTAAGCAGAATCTGTCCTGCCAGGGAGGATGCCCGTCAGATCCCCTTACAGCCCGGCTCCCGTTTCGGGTGAGGGCTTTCGGTGCCACCATCTCGTGTGCAGTGCCAGGGCCCCTGCGGAGCTTTCTTAGTGTGCTGGCCTGCGCCTCTGCCCTGGGCCTGCTGGCCCGGAGCTGACAGCCCGTACGCCTCTGGGGCCCACATGCTGCCTTAGGGGAGGCCAGAAGCCTGTTGCTGCTGGGAGAGGCGGCCCAGCTCCACAGCCTCCCGTCTTGGGCATTTTGTCCTTGCCAAAAATACAAGATTCAGCCTCTGCTTGGAGACCATTTGGTTTCTGTGTGGAGACTCCTCATCCATTTCACCCCAGCTAAGTCCTGAGCCTCCAAGACAGGCCCTGCCAGTCAGTGTCCTTGGCCACACAGCCAGCGTCAGGGAGCAGCCGCCTCTGGACTGAAGTTTGGCCAGAAGCCCCAGTGCCTCAGTCCTGGGGGGCTGCGAGCCACACACCTCTAAAACCGTCTCCAAATTGGAGCCTTCAGTGAGGAATGATATTCTGGTATGTTCTGGTGAACAGAAAGAATGCTCAAGCTTGTGCTCCACGTGAAGTCCTGGGTTCTCGTGTCAGCCGCTGCTTCATATCCCTTAAGATGTACACCTGTTGTTTTAGTTTTGTGGCCCTCGGAAGATGGGGCAGGTCTGGGGGAAGATGATAGTTTTGCTAAGAAGGAGTCTTGAGTGAAAGCTAATTTGGGGATTCACTGAACCAGAAAGTATCGCAGCTTTTGCCTCAGCCAGAGGCAAGGACGTGCCTGCATGTCCTCGTCATGGCAGAGGTGGGCATGACACCAGCGTGGCTGTCACCTCTCCCTACAGCCGTCCGCTCTTCCCACTCACCCTCCCATGTGGTTCCCCTGCATTACTGACACCGTCGTGCATTTTCTGTGACTCCATCACACTCCACCTCCTGTTGTTTTGATGCATGCTCGAAGGGCTCTGGGGGCTAAGGGGGCTGGGCGCTGGACTCTCCTGAGTAAGAGTAAGGACTCAATTGGGCCTTTACTTTGCTGCTGGGTGGAAGGCAAAGCGAGAGTGCCATAGAGAGGCCTCCGGCTGGCCCCTGTGCCCAAGTGTGCATGTGCTCGTTCCAGGCGGGGGCTGGCCGCAGGGTCACAGCTCTGTCCTCGTTCAGTTGCAGGCCCCGGGCGTACTGTCTTGCTGACAGTGATGAGGAGTCCTCCAGCGCCGGCTCCTCTGATGAAGACGGGGCCCCTGAGCCCAGTGCAGGAGACAAGCAGCTGCTCCCGGGAGCTGAAGGGTGAGCGGAACGGGCTCGGGGCTCAGGGCCAGGCTGAGCCTCCCCGTCTTCCTGTGACCTTCCTCCTCTACCCTGAGCCGGTGCTGGTTGTTAGCACCTAGTGTCAGTGGACAGGCACCGGAGAGAAGAGGTTTATGTAGCTCTCCTTTCCTATTCGGCTGCACACTCCATAATTTTTTCCTGCCATTAAGTAAATGGTGAAGAAGTTGTAGGGCAGGGTTGTGCACAGCACCCCAAGCCTGAGGAGCGAAGTGTGCCCCCCGATGCCAGGCAGAGAAAAGCCTTTGCCCCTCCACCAGTGCCAAGGTGGGGTAGAGGAAGAAAAACTTTTCCTTTGTATATGTGCTATTCCTGATCCCCTGGAACTGCAGAGGATTTTCAAATCAGATACCCTGTTCTGAGGGCAGTTTTATGAATTATACAACCTGCTATCACGCCAGTTATTTTTGATATAGCATTTGTCAAAGTAATTCCCTGCCCTAAAAATAAGGGGAGAAAAAAATTCCAGGCTCTTTGAAAAGTGCTTGTGCAGAGGAATGGGGGGACACTGCAGTCCCACAGCGCAGGTGGCTGAGGCCAGAGGGCCGTCAGTCCAGCCCAGCCAGGAAATGTGTCGACTCAGATTTTTGCCTTAAAATTTTAGAAGAGGGGTAGGGATGTAGCTCAGTACAAAGGCCCTCGGTTAAATCTCCAATCACACACACGCACACACACACGCACGCACGCACGCGCGCGGAAAAGCATTTGTCACTCACATCAGCAGGACACCACCTAATGGAAGGTAGTCACATTTTGTCTGTTGTGCAGTGTGCTTTGCCAGTTGCTGTGGGGAGCTGGAGACTTCTCTAGCAGGACGTGGACTCCATTAGTCTGCGAGGGGTTAGGGAGGGCACCGTCTCCGCACAAGGACTTTATGCAGTTCTTCAGGGTCAATTCAAGGGCGCTGTGTGACATTTACACTTTTTTTTCAAGTAGTACTTCTCAAACCAAGGGCAGTTTGGCCACTGTATCTGTAGACAGGTGTGACTGTCACAACTGGGGATTTAGTGCCATCTAGTGGCAGAGGGTGAGGCTGGCGCTGAAAGTCCTCCAGGGCACAGGACAGTGTCCCGGACAGACTTGGGCTTAAGAAAGGGCTGTAAAGGAAGGTGAACCTAGAGCCACTATCTTTTCGTCTGTGAAAGAGCTAAGTGTCTACTAATACCTCTTTGTGTTCTCCACTTGAAGGTATGTTGGAGGGCATCGAACAAGTAAAATTATGAGGTTTGTCGATAAAATTACCAAATCAAAATATTTCCAAAAAGCAACAGAGACAGAGTTCATTAAAAAGAAGATTGAAGAAGTCTCCAACACACCCCTGCTGCTAACTGTTGAAGTCCAGGAATGCAGAGGAACCCTGGCGGTCAACATTCCTCCACCCCCGACTGACCGCGTATGGTGCGTGCAGGGCTCCCTAGGGAGGGCACGTGCTGCTTCTGGTTGCGTAGCCATAGAAATGCCAGCCTGCTTAACCTTGGGATTAAGGAAACTACCTTCTCCTGGACAGCTGAAAGGGCAGTTATACCTTCTTCTGTGATCGATTCATTCCTATTTAAGGTTTTGTCCTCATACACCGGGGACAGTTAAGCTGAATACATGAGGTTTATGGGACAAGCTGTTTCCATTCTTGGTGGTCTTCCTCTCTAACACCAGCTCTTCCACCAGTAGTAACTTCTGCCCCTTGTAGGGTGCCCTTGACCTCTGCTTGGCCGGTTCTCTCAGTGTCCTGCTGAGGAGGTGCCTGGTTGTCCCCAGTGACAGACGAGAGCCGACTACGCATCCAGCAGCTCCAGGAGGCTAGGGACACGTCCCCGAGTTAGGCCTTGACATGGGCCTGGAGGACGTGCTTTGGGTGTTATGGCAGGAGAGCTATGCCCGGTGGGTTCTCGGCTCCAGCTGCATGCTAGCTGCCCCTGGGAACCTACTGAAAGTGCACATGTGCCACCCCACTGCAGGGTCGCAGCAGCTGATGGAGGAGTTGTAGTGATTAAGCAAGGGGGGGAATAACAAATTACTTATGGATCCAGGATCTCTATGAATCTAAATTGAAATTAGCATCATAGCTCAGGGGTAATCTTACCATCTAGGAATGTCCACATGGTCACGGTTACTACTTTCCAGTCTTCTAAACCACCTTAAAATTTATTTATTTGGTACAGTGTCTTACTGTGCAGCTTGGACTTCTGGTGATCATCCTGTCTCAGCCTCCCCAGAACTGGGATTACAGGCATAAGCCACCACACCCAGTTTTGGTGGCTGGCATGGTGTGCCCAGGGTTCTGGGGCTGGCATGGCACGCAGTACCAGGGATCGGACCTGGGTCCTTGTGCTTGCCAGGCAGGCACTTAAACCACCAAGCTATCTCCCCAGCCCAAAACCTAATTATTTATATTGCTGAGTGCATACATTTCTTCTCTAGACCATCAGACTTTATTCGCTCGCCGCAACTTGGCATTTCTCCTCAGTTTTTTTGTTTTTCCTGCGGAGCCGGGCATTGAACTCATACACTTGCGCTTGCCAAGCAAGCACTTATTCAACTGAGCTATCTTCCCGGCCCGTCTCCTCAGTTTTGAAGACACTGACCCACACTGGATTAAAGGTTCAGGCAGGTTGCTGGTGTGCTGGGTAGTTACCAACAGTCCACACTGCAGTCAGCACCCACAGGAAGTCCTGGAAGCGTGGTCCACCTGTGCTTACGGGCAGGCAAGGAGAGCTTGCCTCGCTGCCCCCGGCCGCCTCGCGTGGCAGTGCAGGCCAGGCCATCGTGAGCCATAGCCCTGCCCCTTGTTTCTTCAGAGGGTCTCACCGCATAGCCCAGGCTGGCCTCCAGCCGCACGTGATCCTCCTGCTTCAGCGCCCTGAGCGCTAGGGTTACAGGCCTCGGGGTGCACCGGGCTCAAGTTCAGGTTTACACACTTATATTTAGGTTCTTGTAATGTGCACAACTTATCAAAATCACTATCATCTTAGGAAAAATAAAAAAATCCCCAGATCATGGCCCTTTCCTGTGGTACTGCCTAGCTTTTCCAGTTTGCAAGAACTGATCTGATGAATTAGGGACAGCCCTGCACTGTCCAGGGAATATGAGGAGGTTGCGAGTTCATTCTTGCTTCGCTCAAATATTTTATTTATTTATTTATTTATTTATTTATTTATTTTGGTGGAACCGGGGATTGAACTCAGGCCCTTGCGCTTGCCAGGCAAGTGCTTATTCCACTGAGCCATCTCCCCGGCCCCTGCTCAATTGTTTTAGAGGGGATTTTCAGAATAATAATTTTAAGTTGTGATGAAGCCCCACATAAGCTTGAATTGTTCCTCATCGGTGCTTGCCTGCTTCCTCTCTACTGCTAAGTGCTTATTATTACTTATCTTCTGAAAGGTATGGCTTCCGGAAGCCGCCATATGTGGAGCTGAAAGCTCGGCCAAAACTCGGAGAGAGAGAGGTGACATTAGTTCACGTGACAGACTGGATAGAGAAGAAACTGGAGCAAGAGTTTCAGGTGAGCCTGCAGTGGTAGCTCATGTTTCACACTGAGTATAAAAAGCTCAGGCTGGACGGGGGTCCTGAGCGCCACCTGGCTCAGGATGCTCTTGAGAGTCCAGTGGAAACCACTCACTCTCGCCCCAGGAGGGACACACATGCTCAGACACTGGGGTAAAAGGTCAGGTGAGGACTCGTGGGGCTGAGGCAGGAGGCTCCTTGTGAATTAGAGGCCAGCCTGAGCTGCAGAGCAAAACCTGGTTTGAAAAATACAAAAACTAAGTCAGGTATTATTTCAGAAACCCTGAAGTTTAGCCAGAATATCACTAAATAATCTTCAGAGGAAACCCAGATGTGGGGTAAGGAGCAAAATTAGAATCTCACAGCAGTCGATCTGCTGGGCCTTCCTGGCTTTGTTTTGAGCCCCGTGAAATTTAGAATTGGTTTGCTAAGCGGCACCCAGCCTATGCCCAAGGAAGTGGCTTCCTATCCTTATGTCATCTTCTTGCTCAGTTTTTTTTTTTTTTTTGAGGAACCAGGACTAGAACTCAGGCCCTTGTGCTTGCCAGGCAAGCACGTCTTCTACTGAGCTAGCTCCCTGCTTCTTGCCGTTTCTTCAGCTCACATGGAAGCGCCTCTGTACTCCAGCAGCCAAGGACCTCGGGCAGGAGGCACACCTTCCAGGGCTCACAGCGGTACCAGCAGCCCCCTTGGCCCGTGCCACAGCGCGCCCGCCACCGCCACCCTAGTGCTTCACCATAAGTTGGGCCTCCCCAAATCCGTCTAGTGGTCTTGCAGCTTCCTAACCCAGGTCTCATTCTCAGGCCTGCTTTGTGTGAATTGTTGGTGGGCTTTAGCTTTTTAAGAAACCGCCTTGTTGTCTTGCCAGACACGGTGGCAGACATCTGTAACCCCAGCACACGGAAGCTGGAGGATCACTGCAAGTTTGAGGCCAGCCTGGGCTACAGAGTGAGCTCAAGACCACCTGAACTATATAACAAGACAGTCTTAAAAACACAGGGGCCGGGGAGATAGCTCAGGAGAATATGCACTTGCCTGGCAAGCACAAGGGACCGAGTTCAATCCCAGGTTCCGCAAAAAATAAAATCAAAAACACCCTTACCCTTTCCCCTCAGATTTACAAGCATAAAATTCTCTTGGAATGTGTTCTGCACATAATTTGAAAATACAAATTAAAAGCAGTTTCTTAGTGTTGTTCATCATTTATGAGTAACTTTATATGTGTGCAAAGTCAAAGGCCTCTGCCTCAGAACTGATAATTATGTTCTTGTATTTGTGCACTGGTGAGGCCTTAACTTTTTAAATTACAGTGGAGGAATGTGTAAAAATTTCCATACATATTTTTAAACATGTCTGTAAAGTCTAAACTATAAACCAACAGTGTGTTCTTCAATCTCCCTGCAGAAAGTTTTCGTCATGCCAAACATGGACGATATTTACATCCCCATAATGCACTCAGCTATGGACCCTCGCTCCACTTCCTGCCTCCTGAAGGAGCCCCCTCTGGAGGCCCCTGATCCTCTGTAGCGGGTGGAGGAGGAGGGTCTGTCTTGAGACGCCCTCCGCATCCAGGTTCCTGGCTGCAGTCTGCACCGCGGCACTGGCTCCCAAGACTGCTTCTGCCTCTGCCTGCCGGTGCCCATTCCACTGTGAGGTGTCATTCCCTACATCTAGTGACAGGCATTTGGAGTGCCTGCCACAAAGCCTGGCCTCGGCAAAGGAGACTGGACTGTCATCCCAGTGGGCCCAGAAGTTATGCGACTCACATTGTGGCTGCTTAAAGTCTACCAGCTTCGGAGCTGAATTTTTGTGGCAGCAAAAAGCACGTTGAGAGGGAAGCTGTGCAGCGGACCGGAAGCCTCCCCTCCCCATCCAAAGCCTTGCCTCAGGCTCACTCTACACGAGTGTAGTCCTCCGATCTCCAGGGTGTCAGCCTGGCAACGTGTGGGAAGTGGGATTTCGAGCCACTGCAGTGGTGGGAGAGGCGTCGCAAATCACTGTTACTAACTTGTGCATTTTAGAAGCAAGTTGCCATAAAACACAACTTTCGCTGGGGCGGAGGCACTGGAATTTATGTGAACCTTAGGCAAAGCCACGGGATCAAACCATCCCAAGCCTTTTGCCAGTGAGGTAGTCTTCTTGCCTCTAATCCTGTTTCCTGAGATACAAGCATGTGACAATGACAGATATTGCACACAAGGGCCGACTGTTCCTCCTTAATGCAGATGGGATGGGCCCAAACACCCAGAGTTCCTGTGGCTGCCGGAAGCTCCCCAGGAAGCTCCCCAGAGGGAACGCTGTTTAGGCCTGCGGGAAAGCTCTGTGGGCGGGTCTTCCTGATGGCCAAACAACACTCCCCTGGTCTCCGCTGGAGCGAGTTTGCGTCCCACCAGACACTACATCGCAGAACACATGACCTTCCTTTCATGTTGCCAACTTCATTTTGTGCATTTGTGTCAGAAGGTTTAGTTTACAAGTTTGGGACTCGAAATTTGCTTTGAAAAGTAAATACAATTTGTTTAAAGTTGTATTGAACATCAAAATTACCTTGGGTAACGTTTGATATAACTTACATCTGTGGACTAAGCGAATAGTGATTTTTCTTTAAAACAGCACCTTGCCTGACTTTAAAGAAATTAATATATTAAAGATATATTTGAGCCCTTATTTTAATTGCACCATTAAAACATTTGACTCAAATTACCTGGCCATTGCCACCGGTGTACTGTTCTAACTCCTCACTGTGTGGGCTCCGTGGCCTGGAGTCGCACGTCTTATCACTGGTCTTCACTGTGCAGTAACTAAAGGCAGACGACTAGCCGCCGCTGCGTAATCACACGACTGCACCCTGTTGCACTTAATTGGTAGTGAGGGGGATGTAGAACCGCCTGCATTGTTTCACAAAATAAATTATCTCCTGTCAAGTACTAGATAAGCATCCAAGTTATTTCTCCAAAGTCCCTGTAGAGGAAGGAATAGTGAATGCACAGCGCTTGGGCACTCCCGGGCAGCAAGCACCTGCGTGCTCAGAGCCCAGTCCTGAGTGTACAATGACCAACTTCCCACCAATCGGCCTGTACTTGGCCGCTGTGCAGTGCACCTTCCGCTCAGCCACAACTGTTCAGTGAGAAGAGCAGACACTGGGTAAGGCCAGGCCGGTCTGCAGGCCCAGGAGAATTAGGAGCCTGGAGGGCCAGCCCCACCTCAAAAACAAGGTAAAAATGATGGGGGCCGCGGGGACAGCTCTGAGCGCCTGCCCAGGCTGGCACAAGGACCCAGGTATCAAAGTTAATGCGCCGATTTTGGGAAAGGTTAAAGCAAAAGTGGGAGAACAAGAAACGAGATTGACAAGCTGGCTTGCGGGTGAAGTAGGGCAGCTTTTGTTTTCGGGGCGATTCACTCTTCTCCAAAGCTTTAGCTATCCCGTGGCATGCAAGAGTGACTCTTGGTCGTCTGTGACCTGTAGTAGCACAGCGCCGCCCACGGTTCTAGGTGGCATCCCATTAGCTCCCGGGGGCAAGGCAGCCCTGCTCCCCTTGAGATAGGTACTGCTTCCCCTCTCAGCCTGCGTCTCGAGGACCAAGTTCAGATTTGTTCATCGAGATAGTTGTGCCCCGGCGCTGAAGCCCACACCCGTATCTGCGGGAATCATTTTAAGCCGGGCATTTGGTAGGCGCCCTGCCCCTACCGCGAAACCCCGCACAAGCCCACGTTAGGAGCTTTGACCAGCTGCAGTGTGAAGACGTACAAAAAACCCCACATGCTCACACCACCCTGGAAATTAGAGGTTGAGCTAAGCGGACAACTCGTTTCTCCCAAGTTCACTTGTAGGACTTTTACCAATCAACTGGTCGTACTACATTTTAACCAGAATTTAAACCCCTACAGCTTCAGCCCCAAACCTGTTCCCGCAACAAATCCAGCTGCTTTTATCTCTCCGCCTAGACACTTCACACTGCGCCTAACAAGCGCGCCTCGCACACCTCGGCCAGACGGCCGCCGCAGCCGGGCAGGCTGCTCGAGGTGCAGCAGCGGGCGCGCAGGCAGGGCACGCGCCCCCAACCCGCTGCACCCTTAATCCCGGGAAAGGTGGAGGTTCGCCCCGGCAGCCGGGCGCTGCCGCGGCTGTGTTGCTCGCGGTTAAAAGGGCCGTCGGCGGAGGGCAGGCGGCCCCAGTTATGCGCGAGCGCGTTCTCTGGCGCTGCAGCTTGACCCCCGGCGCCACACACAGGCGCGACGGGGGCCCAAAGGCAGCGCGTCACCGACCACAGGACACTGAGCTGGAGACCAAATCACTTTATTGGGGGGCTTTGACTGGGGAGAAGCCGCTTCACACGAGATCTGACGTTCCCGGCACGGCTGGATCTGCAAAAACGACGGCCATAGGTGAGCAACAGCGGACCTCCCGGCCCGTCTCCTCCCCCATCCAACCCGCCAACCGGCTCAGACTCCAGTTCGCATCACTCTCGTCAGCAGTCTAACACGTGCTTTAATTGGAATGTCATCACCGCCAGTCGGTCGTCTCCAGCCCGCTCGCGGGCCAGCCCAGCCACACAACTCAGCAAAGTAACACCGCTCACCTCTGCGGGTCCGCCGTGGTCAAGAGACAGCGAAAAGAGCGTGAATTGTACTTAAAGGAAGATAACGGAAGTAGTAGGGCGGGCTTTACTGCTATCAACCAATAGCAAGCCAAATTTCTGAGCGTGCGCTGTAAAAAATGATCTAATGATTGGCGGTGCTCGCTAAATCCTCCAAAGTATAGAGTGGTCACACTCGGACCATAGAGATGGGAGGCTAGATGCCAACACTTTTTTTTTTTAATGAAAGGGGCGGGACTTCTGTATCTTAATTGCCGCGTACTTGTTGATCATTGACTTGGAATTGGTGCATCTCTCTACGGTACACAGAAGAAAACTTTGGAAACGAGATAGAGCCTAATTTGTCGGACATTTTGCCACCAGCTAGACTAGGATCTGAGGATGTAAAGGTAAACAAGACTGTTCAGAAATTGGGAAGAGAAAAAGTATGAACAGCTGGAAAAGGAGATGAAACAAAGCACTAACAGCTCCTTTCCATAGACCAGCAGAAATGCACAGTACAGCTGTCCAGACCATCCTGCTTACATACCTAGATACATCTCTTCCTCCCCCTCCTCCTGTCCTCCTCCTCAACTCAGTAACTCTTGCCTTTTCAATAAGTTCATTCCCTTTTTCCAATATCTGTTGTACCCTTCAGATTCCATTTTCTCTTTCAGGTTCTCACATTAAGGAGACAATACGATGTTTGCACATGCAGGTCTGATGTATTTCACTGAAGAGTATGTTCTCTAGTTGCATGCCTTTACTGACAAAAGACTCAAATTTATCCTGTTTAACAACTGAATAATACTCCATTGTGCAAAGATACCACATCTTCCTTATCCATTCTTCAGTTGATGGGCATCTGGGTTGTTTCCAGGATTTGGCTATGACAAATTGCTCTGCTATAAACATGGTGCACACGTCACTGTATACCCATTTCTTCTTCCAGTTTTACACGCATGTATCTGGGAATATGAATAACTGGTTGAAGACAACACTATGTATTACAACAAATACTGTGAAATTCATATTACTTTGTTAAGTGAAATTCTGTATCACTTGTAATTTTTTGTTTTAATTCTAATTTGTACTCGCTTTAAAAAATTAAGGGCCTGGGAGATGGCTCAGTAGAATAAGTGCTTCCCTGGCAAGTGCA